TATATATAAAATGATATAGCCAAAGGTTTACCCTGTGGTAGAGATTTTTCTCCAGGGGAGCTTCAAACATTTATGTGTTAATTGGGTGTGTGCAAATTAAGTTTGCTGAGAAGAACAAAGTGCAAGTGAAGGGTGCTGGAGCAATCACAATTTCCAGCAGTTCTGTAATGTGGCTTTATCAGTTCCCTCCTCTGTCTCATTTCAACTCAATAGGATTTTCATGTTTTCCAAAAATTTGCTGAAAGGAGTAAATGATCAATGACTGTTCATCAACAGACACTGAGCTTGAGCCATGGTGTTATGCAGTGTGTCAAAACCTGGGTCTAGGTGCATTTGATAGAACATGGCTTGGGGGAAGGATGTCATTGCAGAGAAAATACAGGCTTTAAGCCAGAAAATAAGGGGCAGTTTTTCTTTAGCAAGCATGTGTACAAATATATAGCATTCAATGCTATTTATTTTGCAAGGCACACCACTGTTTATCTTGAATCTGAATTCCTCATGGCCATTGAGTTTTCAACAGACTTGTTCCAGTTCTGTGAAAAGGTCAGCCTTTATTGGAAGAACTTTTCTGGTTTGTGGAAAGCAGTCAGTTCCCCTTGGACCTGCTGCAATGAAGGACAATTCTGATGGATTGCTGTTCATCTAAAAGCTTTTTGTTGTGACCAAGACTTTCAGGAAAAGAATAACATAAGAGGAAACACCTCTTCCTACCTCCCTCAATCCCATATCCATATTCTGCCACTAAACTTGAGAAATGAATTGCTGGAGGCACATGACTGTTATCATGAGCGTCTTGTTCACTCCACAGAAGTTGTAGACATTCTGAGAAGGCCCTTACATATGATGTAAAAAAAAGTCCTACTTTGTCCTAATCCTTTGCTAAACATAGAGTTAAGCCTTATACCTAAAAAACCCACTACTCCGCTTTACTCTCTTACAACTGTATTTATTGGAGGAAAGTGCAACAGATTAGCAAGATAACTGTCAGCTCCTTCCCTGAATCTTTCAGAGAGAAAATGGACAGCTTTCCTAATGCCAGTTATTCGGAGACATAAGCTATGCCATGAATTTAACATTACTTTTTTTCTTCAGTTTTTAGATCCTTAAGACAATAAATACCCTTGACTTATTATCTTTAAAAAAAAAAAAAATCAAGTTTAAATAAATCCAGAGTAACATATTCTCTCCTAAAATCATGCAGTAGATAAGAACAAGGGAAAAAAAATGGGAAAGGAGAGAACAAGTATTAGATTTCACCCTAATTTAGGGCATGGCAAACAGAAGAAAATAAAAGTGTGGAAAATATACCACAGCATCTTCAAAAAGAAAAAAGATAATTAACTTAAGAAAGAAACAGTGATAGGAGGAGAGGCAATAAGGCAATAGGCAATAAGGACCCAGAAAAAAACAAACTTCTTGACTTCAAATAAGTGAAGAACACAGGGCTACAGAGAAGAAACATTTGGGACAATGAAAGTAGTTGGGCAACTAAAACAATTTTATACAATTCTACTGATTTATCCCAGTAAGTGCTAGTGTTCAGAAGAGCACAGGAATACAAGGGTTAGCACATCCGCACTAGCAATACCTCAGCTTGACAAAGGACTGATTTTTAAGCTGAAGTCAATGTGACTTACCAGTACACTTCTGGGCTTTCCTGGGTGCAGATGTTGCTAAGCAAGTGTTTCATGGCTTTGATAAATCAGCTTGCTAATGTAGGAAGGTATTCAAAATGCCTGCAGTGTTTTGTGTCATAATGAAGTCTAAGTTGTTAGTATGTTGGGTTTTTTTTTTTTATTTTTAAATCTTTTTCTTGTCAAATTTGTTTGCTGAAGTAGGTGGCCAAGAGTTGGAGCCGCCAGCATTCATG